GAGCATCCTGTACGCGTCCTGTAGTTGCCTGTCCAGCATGAATTGTTTGAGCATAATGATATCCGGACTCAGCACAGGGTCAGCAAACCCTTGGCGTTGCGAGGAAGATCTACGATCCACGGCGGGGTCCAGCGTGGTGTTGAAATCCCCAGTCATTATCATGGGTGCATCGTCTGGCAAGTTTTGTTGCAATGTTAGCGGCTTGGTGAGATTAGAGAGGGAGCTTCTTTCAGCACTGCACAAAACGAGAGAGAGAGACAGAGAGAGAGAGAGAGAGCTGTCTCTTATACACATCTAGATGTGTATAAGAGACAGGAGAGAGAGAGAGAGAGAGAGAGAGAGAGAGAGAGAGAGAGAGAGAGAGAGAAGCCATAGCCAGTGAGAACTTGCTGTTTACTGGATGGTCTCTCGAGCCGATTGTTGCATGTTGATTGCTCAGCGCAGCCGGGCCTTCAATTATCCATCACCTTTTTCTGATATCATCAACCACTTTGTGTGTGACATTCAATTCCTGATCTTCTGTGGCGTTGAAGTCCAGTGTGATCTCATCTCAATCACGTGCGTGAGTGAGATGACGAGTGGAGGTGCCTAAGATTTTGGAAATTCATACCAGTTGGCGATTTTCCAGGCGAGGTAGTTTTCTTGTCGTATAATCTGTCTACGATTAAGTACATCTCAAGGTCTTAGTATTTCAGAAGCTCGGTCACGAATACCAGAGAAACTGGCCTTTTATGATTATATTGGCAATAATCCTGCTAAATCTATTATTAACTTATTAGTTTGGGCTATTTCGTGCTGGTTCAATGATGTTGATAATGTGTAATGATGTTGATAATGTGTAATGTGTACCTTGGACTGCACCGTCTTTTTACTATTATTAGTTTGTAAACGAGAAAAGAAATTATTTAGTATTTACTGCTTTTTTTTGTTTTGTTTTGTTTTTCAAAGATCAAAGTTCCCGTTACCGGGTTTCATTTTTTTTTATTTTTTTTTTAAATTCTATTACCGGGCCTGAGTAACCAAAAGGCTAAGTATATCACAAGATGTATGCAGTACTATGCACTCTACATCGGCGCTCAATCCGAAATCAAGGGTCTGAGCCTTTTCCCTGCATATAACAGAATACTACACCAGACCACCAACCTGGCCCTTCTGCTCCTTTTTTTTTTCTTTTTTTTTTCTTGCCATGCAACTACAAGAACCAAGTACTAACCTCAATATATATCAGAATGCACCAAGCCAACATCTCTAAGAAAAGGACCATTGAAAAAAAGACGAAAGCACCAAAAAAAGCAAGATCACCAGCAATTCCATGGACATCACCAAAAAAAGCAAGATCACCAGTAATGCCATGGACAGCACCAAAAAAAGCAAGATCACCAGTAATTCCATGGACAGCTATAAATCCGAGAAGAGCAGCCCGACGCTCACGGAACCATCTACTTCCTGCTAAAAACGAGCCAGCACATCTGATACGCTTTTTTTTTCCAGTCCACAAAGACTATCATAAGGGGAACTAAGGGCCTCCTCCCACCTTACTTACTTGCGGTCAGCAAAATTACGTATTTTTGCTTATCCCACCTTCCGCAAGTGAAGGGGGTTCCGCTAGCAACGGAAGGATGTGGAAAACTTGAGGAGATGTGGAAATTTGAGGAGATGTGGGCCATCTGAGAGTGAATGACGGAAGCGGAGGTTGGCCGAAATCGAAAAAAGGAACGGCCCCACCTCTCCTCTCAAAAAGATGGCATATTTTGTTGATTTTTTTATTTATTCTTTTTGGGCCCGTTGGCGGGCCTGGTTTGTCCGTGGTCGTATGTTTCGTGTGAAAAAAAAGGGCCTGGCCTCCGGACTACGTTTTTACTTTCACGGCCCAACCGCTAGGGCCCTTCTTTTTTTTTTTTTTTATAATAAATGTGGACCATTTCTCGATTTATGCGAGTCATCCTTGCGCAGGGGCCATGCTAATATTCTCTCTCTGTATCGTTCCAATGTTAATGGATGTCCCGAAGGACAGGCCCTTCTTTTTCATTTCTTTTATACTGTAACAACAACAACAACAACAACAACAACAACAACCCTACTAACGGTAAAGAGCATACTCACACTAGGCCCTCAAACTCACAAAATCACAAAATGAGCGGCAAGATCCTTGTAAGGGAAGGACTAGTTCTGGCCGCTCATTTTGGGATTTGCGATTTTGAGGGCCTAGTGTGAGTATGCCCTAAGTAGGGCGGGATGAGACCCTAATTTGTCTCTGAGTAGGGCTGTTTTTTTTTTTTTTTGTCCAAGGCTTTTTTTTTTTTTTTTTTTTTTTTTTTTTTTTTTTTTTTTTTTTTTTTTTTTTTTTTTTTTTTTTTTTTTTTTTTTTTTTTTTTTTTTCACGGCCGTTATTGCAGCCGTCCAACTAGACTTATCTCTCAGAGAAGAGGCCCCCGGGACCTTGTCCCCCAGTTGCACGGTTTAGTTGAGGCAGCTCAACGGTGCCACAGCTAAAAAAAATCGTTCTATTTCAATTTGAAATGAGAAATGCATTATAAATGGCACGAATACAATTGTTCTGGTTTTCCTTTTTTCACAATTGGACTGGCATACGGCCACTTCCACAGCAGAAAATGAAAATGAAGAGTGAGTTGCCAGAATCTCGACACGGTACAAAAATGGCAAACGGAAGGAGGCTGGTACAGTTTCTCAAGAAAAACGCCTTTTGGGGGAACAAGAGGGTCCTTGAGCTACCGGTAGCTGTCTCGAAAAAAGGAGACAGCTAGCTCAACGGAAAGTGGCGAGTGTAGGGGGACTAGTATTCGAGAGAAAGGATTACTTCTGCTTTTTTCTTGTAAGGGGACTAGTATTCGAGAGAAAGGATTTACTTCTGCTTTTTTCTTGTAAGACAGAGCAAAGATAGTCTCTATTAAATGCCTATCGGGGGATCCAGTGGTCTATCTCTAGGTGGCGGGCGCCAAGCATGCCCAGGAAGGTACATGAGGCCAATGGGGATTGAACCCACGACCTCCTGAATGCCACTTGCGAGCCTTACCAACTGAGTTTGGCCGGCTGCCCCCTAGCCGGTATCGCCCACCTGCAGCTCGGGAGCAGCCCCGCATGTTCTCTCGTGAACACGGTGCTGGCTGCTACGGGGTTCCCCGTATGCCTACAATGCCTACAATTACGAGTACTGGTAGGTAGGTAGTGTGAGGTGAAATTGAGAGAAGAATATAGCTTTAGAAAAAAAAAAAAGAAAAAAAAAGATAGTCTCTATTGCCTTTTTTATTAAAAACGGACCGCTAGATGACTTGGACGGACGACGTGCATCTCCGTTGTGGCGTACAGTCACACAGCGTCGAAAACCCAACGTTGACCTACCTTCTTCCCCCGAATACAACGTACGGCCATTATATAGCTGTATTTGAAGCATCTTTCAGTCTAGATACAGCTATAATCACCGTACGTTGTATTCGGGGGAACAAGGTAGCTCAACGGTAGTGGGACAAGGTCCGCGATGCTCTGTTATTGCCGGCAAAGATGCGGAACGCCCGGAGGCTGTTATTGCAGGCAAAGATGCCTTAATGCCACAGCCCTTGTCATCATTTCCCTTCTGCCAGAGACTCCACAAATATCGCTGCTCTTACCGTGTCATACAAATACACGCGCAGGGAGTTGTGAGTTCAGATTTTTTTTATTTTTTATTTTTTTTGGGTGGTGGTGGTGGGGGGGGGGGAAGTGTTCAGTTTTTACAGACTGACCGGACATGAAACAAGATATGATTCTAAAAAAAATAAAAAAAATAAAGACACAAGACAAAGAGCCGTTTGTCCACAATTCAACCTATTGCCAGCACTGGATGAATATTGGGCACTCTACCCACAAATGCTGCTGCATATCCTCAACGACGAATTAGTGCTATCTTATGTAAAAGATGAGTGCCACCTTCCACCTGCGTTTGAATCTTCTACATAAAGAAATGAAATAAGAATAGAATTTCATAATGTCATGAAATAATATTTTACTGCTGAAGTAGCCGAAGCGCTCTGCGCGGGGGAAGAGAACAATACCTTAGATTTTGTCGTACCTCTACCTTTCAAGAAGGCGGAATGCCCGCGGGCGTACGTAGTTACATGCATCCGGACGACACACACGGTCACATTCCATCACATCACAGTACCTATCCTTCATTTGAATAAACTGTTTCTAAATACAGAAACCGAAAAAAAAAAAAAAAAAAAAAAAAAAAGGGAGTTATGTTAATCCGGCGATGCCCCACATGCGCGAAGACAGTAGAGGTTTTGTTAGTAGTAGTTTACAATTTGCTATCTTGATTAGGTATGTCATCCTCATCCTCCAATGCAGCAGTGTCGTTCGTATGTGGACTCATCTTGAATGCATGAGAACGCATTCACGGTCACATTCAGATTTTCTCTCATCTTCCAAGCCAGCATCCTTATCTGGCAACAGTATATTGAATGAATGTGGACGGATTCACGGTCATATTCCATCACGATACACCCCCCGTGAGTACGGTCTTTTACTGTTAACTCCACACACAGATAAAAAGGCTACGATCGTCGGCTTCCCCGTCAAACATCACATCAACACAAGCCCTCCCTTCTCCTCACCTTTCGAAAGGGACTCGATCCCTCGACCGGTCGTTGAACTCGATCCCCCGACCGGTCGTTGAGCTCGATCCCCCGACCGGTCGTTGAACTTGATCCCCCGACCGGTCGTTGAACTCGCGAGGTACCACAGCATACTTCCTGCCCCTTTCCTGTCCCTCCTTCCAGGCTCCCTCTCGTGGCGACGACCGGTCGTTGAGCTCGCGAGGTACCACAGCATACTTCCTGCCCCTTTCCTGTCCCTCCTTCCAGGCTCCCTCTCGTGGCGACGACCCTCAGATGACCTTCACGGCAATCATAATCATAAATCACAATCCGTGAGAACCTTGACGTTACTTGCCCTCCCTCTCCGGCGAAAAGGCGAAAAGAAAAAAAAAGAACAACCCTTGCTCTCCGAATCTTTGTGCTTCATTCAAAACCGTTCACGAAAAGCACCAACCTAACAAGCCTTCGAATACACAGTCTGGACCCCAAAACACCCACACTCCACTCCTCCTCCTCCTTCCGTCTCCTCCTCTCTCTGCCTCTGTCTCGTGTACCTCTGTTTGAGTGTCACTCCTAACGGGGAGAGAGAGAGAGAGAGAGAGAGAGAGAGAGAGAGAGAGAGAGAGAGAGAGAGAATGACACCAAAAACTGTCGTGAACGAATCTCAGCGAATGAAATGTGACAATCAGTGCTGATGATGCTGATGTGACGATGAGCTGAAGGGGCACACATCAGACCGCGGCTGCACTCAAATAGTGTATTTGGGTGTTTTCTTGGACTAGATACATGCACGAAGTGTACGTGAAGTCTTGGCATGATCTATCAATAACGAAACGAACTCTGAGGCGCTTAATCAGTCTTCGAGCGGGCGAGCGACAGAGAGAGAGAGAGAGAGAGAGAGAGAGAGAGAGAGAGAGAGAGAGAGAGAGAGAGAGAGAGAGAGGGANAGAGAGAGAGAGAGAGAGAGAGAGAGAGAGAGAGAGAGAGAGAGAGAGAGAGAGAGAGAGAGAGAGGGAGGGAGGGAGGGAGGGAGGGAGGAAAATGGTGAGTGTAACGATTAGCTGAGCAACTAAGGTGCCAGTCACACCAAGACTGGCCTCACGAACACTTGAGTGTACCTGGACGTCTTCTTGCATCGGATGCATGCAAGGTTACCGTTCGACAAGCCTTGGTGCGATCCTTTCCATAGAATCAGGCACTCTGAGACACAGAGAGAGAGAGAGAGAGAGAGAAGACGGGGAGGAGGAGGAGATCGCGGAGGAGGTCAGCTTACGAAGGACACGGTCTCCGAGAAGAAGGGAAACGGTGGAGCGCTGAGATAGTTGGGGAAAGGGAGGACAGTAGAGAGAAAACGAGGTTTGTCATTGGGTTAGGTGGTCCCTGAAGCCAGCCTGGATACGCTTGACCAGGCCAACTTGACGACTACTGCCTCTCTCGTCCCCACCAGACAGATTACGCAGCCGTACTCACACTAGCACTATCGCAGGTGTATCTCACCGCATTTACAGCCCGAGCTGGATGGATGCATCTGACCGCAGTTGCGTCCAGAAACAAGTAGAAAAACGAGTCCTATAGTACGTACACCCTCAAATGGGGCTCTACAAAACAACACAATACCAACAATTAACGAGAACAGACAACACCAACAACAACAACTACAAGCTTTTGAACGTTAAGAAGAATTAAATTATAGAGCGCTACCAATCCAAAAACAAACTCGACAAAAAAAACCTATTGTGCGTATACTCTGTATATATATGTAGGGCATTAGATCTGCTCTCGTGCTCCCCTCGCCACCTCTCTCGTTTGCTTCGTCGTCCTCCTTCGAGCAACAAGAGCCAGCCACGTTCCACATGACGACGGCTTCTCTCCGTTCGGGGGAAAAAAAACGAGTTCTACACGATTCGAGCCGTCGTCCTCGTCGGAGCCGTCAGATCGACGGTGCGCGCCGAGCCGTCGTCCTCGTTCGAGCCGTCAGATCAGATCTGATCTTGTAGTCCCTCGTTCGAGCCGTCAGATCGACGATGCGCGCCGAGCCGTCAGATCGGCGGTGCGCGCCGCCGAGGCGTCGTCCTCGTTCGAGCCGTCAGATCAGATCTGATCTTGAGCTCCCCCGGCCACCTCTCGTTTACTTCGTCGTCCTCGCTTGTAGAATTTTCTCGTTCGAGCGACCAGCGCCACGTTCAATACGATGGCTCCCAGGCATGCGACGGCCATGACGAGGAACGTCAAGCTGTAGCATTGATGCCCACGGCATTTGCTCGACTGCTGTTTCGCCGCCTCCCTGTCGTACACGGAACCCGCCAGACAGACCGAGAAGATGTACGAGCCAATGGGATTGGCAAGATTGATCCAGTTGTACAGCTCAGCAAATTTTCTAAGGCCGAAGATCTCGGAGACGAGCGCGGGCATCAACGTCACCTGCGCGCCGAAGGACAACCCAACCAAGGCGGAGCCAAAGTAGAGAACCCCGGGCCTGTTCGACCAGAACAGCACGTTGCCGCCGGTCATAAGCACGAGGACGATGACCTGGACGACGGGGCGAGGCCAGGACCACTCCCTCACCATCGCCTCCGAACCGAATCCCGACCCGAGGCAGCCGAGGAAGTTCCAGATGCTCAACAAGGAGACGAAAGCGCTGATGCTCTTCCCCTCGTACCCTAGCGCCATTCCCATCTGCCCAAGGTTGTTCATCACTGCAAAGCCGCACCCTCGTCCGATCACCGAAGAAGCAAAGATAAGCCAAAAATCGACGGTCTTCGCGGCTTGACGAATGGTGAAGTCCTCCCCGCGCACAGGACGACGACGTCGCCGTCTCGATCCCGTTATGACCACATCCTCTCCTCGAAGAAGACGATCCCGATCCCGATCTTCATCATCCCCCGTCCCCTGCCTGTTCTGCTGCTGCTGATCATAATGATCTTGATTGGAAGGAGGAGGAGGAGGAGGAAGAGGATAAGGAGGAGGAGGATGGTCAGCGAGTCCCGCCGACGTGCCGGAAGAAGCCATGAGCGCATCGGGCTTCCAGCTGTCGTTGCTGCTTTCCCGCCGCCTCTGGTGTACGGCATCTCCAACAAGAAGATCATTATCCTCCATGGCCGTCCTATATGGACCTCCAGAGCCGTCGTCAACATCTATGTCATCGCCTTCTGTGATTCTCCTCCCTCCTCGCCCATCTCTTTTGTACCCCTCCTCTCCTCCTCCTCCTCCTCCTCCTCCTCCTCCCCCTCCTCCTCCTCCTCCTTCTTCGGAATCTTCATCTGAGTCTTCATCGGAATCGAACGGCCATTCATTGGCTAGCTCAATTTCGATCTCGTGAATGACAGACTCCACCTCGTCGTCGTCGTCGTCGTCGCCCTGCTCATGTTGCTCTCTCTGCTTCTCTGCCTCCTCTCTTTCGCTCTTGACGCGCTCGAGATCTGTTGTGCCGTCGTCTTCTCCTAGCAGAAGCGGGCGCTCGATCCCCGACAAGGAGGACCTCTTGCTCCCACCGCCGCCGACGCCATAGCCGTCGCCGGCGATAAGCAAGAGCCCCGCGCCGACGCCGCCGCCATATCCGTCCTCTTCCTCGGCGAATGGCTTCGGCCATCTCTTCGTCACGCCGACCATCGAAACCAGGATGACCATCATGGTCAGGAGCCCCATCACGCGCTCGGTGACCGACAGCCCGCGCACCTCCTCGACGACGATGACGCCCAGCAAGTAGAGCGCGAGAACGAGGCCAACGGCGTACAGAAATCCGAACTTCCCACGGACATACGCTTCATAGGCATCGCCACGTCGACGCCGATCTATGGGTCGGATGAAGAACATGAGAGAGAGAGTGAAGACGGTGGGTAGCACGGCAACGAGGAGGAGGAAGTCATCAGCGTCGGGAGCGAATACTGCCATATACACTTGCGCAAAGATCGCCGCGCTCAGTCCACAAAAGCCCTTAACGAGCCCAACCACATAGCCGCGGCAATCAGGAAAATTCCTAATCATAGTGACGACGATACCCGTAGTGAAAAAGAAGCCGCTGTTAGCAGCGACGCAGAGGAAAACTAGCATGACAGCGAAGGGGGGCTGGATGATGAGATGTTTCACAGCCAGCCATAGAAGAAGATAACCGGAAGTAGAACATAACGCAGCGATGAGGAGCAGCGTTCGAGGCCGAACGTGGTTGTAAAGCCAGCCAGCGATAACTGCGACGTTCACATCTTTGGCCGTGCCAAGTGTATTCAGCATAAGCTGATCGTAACCGAGAGAAGTCTTCATCCTTGTGGAATATATAGAGAAATTGTCTGCCGCTCCCGCGCAGCACTCGAGTAACAGTCCAGCCACCAGGGCGATCCATGGATTACGACGAAGGTGTTTCAACCAGTAAGGGCACCGGAAAGGCAACATCCTTTCTGTTCTTCTCCTCTCTTCTCTCTTCGTGTGCTGTCGCGTCCTCTGCTGAATTCCCTTGTCGTCTTCTGCTGTCTCTCTTCTTCTTCTCCTCCTCCCTCTTCCTTCTCCGTGTTTTCTTTTATATTCCTGTCTTTCTCCCTCCTTTTCTTCGCTTCTCTATCTCTCCTACTTTTACCCTCTCCGTCACTTACCTCATCTTTCTAGGCTCTTCTTCGTCTTCTTCTTCTTCTTCTTCTTCTTCTTCTTCTTCTTAGTCTTCTTCTTCTTCTTCTTCTTCTTCTTCTTCTTAGTCTTCGTCTTCTATTCCTGTCTTTCACTTCTATGGATTCCTCCCTCTCCTCCTTTTTCTGGCTCCTTCACGTATACCCCACCGTTACAGCCTCTTTGATTTCCGTCCTCCTCCTCCTCCTCCTCCTTTTTCTCTCGCCTTCGCCTATAGCCCCATATTTACAGCCTCCTTGCTTTCCGTCCTCCTCCGCCTTCTCCTTCTTGTGGGCGTTTCTAAGACTTGTTGTACGTGCGGAACTGTTGAAGATTTGTCGGAGAAGCGTGAAGCATGACAGTTTGTTGGCCTCTGTTTGTCACCATTCTTCTTCTTCTTCTTCTTCTATTCCTCCCTTTTTTTCTTATGTGTCCCCGCCATTCAGTTCTGCGTCAGTCGCGTTCAATCTTCCAATTGCAAAGCGCACTTCACTTCACATCTTTCCACGCCACGTAACCACCACCTCCGCCCCTTACTCCATCTCTGTTCTGATCAATTTACAAGTAATGTCTTTTCGCGCGGTCTCTGTTCTGATCAATTTACTGTCTTTTCGTGCCGCACAGCACTTCTTCGCCGGCCGATTAATCGGCCGGCAAAGAAGTGCGGTCCGAAACTGCTCTCCGGCAAAGAATTCCTTATCGGTCTGTCGAGCATGAAATTCCTACCAGTGTTTCATCAAATAGCTACCCCCATCTCAGCAATGTGCTTGTAGTTTTTACCTCCTATCAAACAATTCCTAGAAAACGACGACAATGACGAGGAAAAAACGAAGAAGACAACCACTAGGACTACAACGAAGAAGAAGAAGAAGAAGAAGAAGAAGAAATAAGAAAGAAGCGGAAGAAGTAAAAGGGGAAGGAAAAGGAAGAAAACGAAGAAGAAGAACAAGAATAGTGAATAGTGAATAGTGAATAGTGAAAACAGGGGCCAACTGCCTTTCGTACACGCTTCGATAAGAAGAAGAAGAAGAAGAAGAAGAAGAAGAAGAAGAAGAAAGAAGAAAAAAGAGGAAGTAAAAGGAGAAAGAAAAGGAAGAAAACGAAGAAGAAGAAGAAGAAGAAGAAGAAGAAGAAGAAGAAGAGTGTTCTTTACTTCGTCGCTGTAAAGAGCATCAGGCAGATTGACAAACCATTTATTATTCCTCAGTGAGTTCCATAACGAACAAGGCGCGAGAGGACAGGGAATGGAAATTCACACAACGTCAGGAAAAGGAAACGTTAATTAGATGATCACAGAGGGCAGAACACTTCACAGAAGAAATCACCTCTCCTTTTTTCATAACAATTATATTACCATTGTGAAGCAGAGATGTGAAAAGATAGATTTGAGAGGAAACCGAAAGAAGAAAATTAAAAGGAAGAAGAAGAAGAAGAAGCAGATGTGGGTATGAACAGGGTGATCGTTTGCTTGGTGATCTGGAAAAAGAACACGAGAAGCACAGATACGTATTCGTCACGCCCAGCATGGCTCATACTACGTATCTATGCTGCGACTGGTAGCACTGCTGCTGCTGCTGCTGCTGCTACCGTCCTTCCCCGAATAAACGGCACCCACATTATGACGGTGTTAAGCCGGAAAGATAGATTGTGTTGAAAGCTTCGCTGCCCGTACGTTGTGAGTACTGACCATTGCCTTGTCCGCGGAGTAAAATCTCTGAGCCTATCACTTCACTATGTACGGGATATACATTCATGCACAGTGTGCGTTGCATTCAGGAGAAGACCGTAGTGTAGTTGTGTACTAGAGCGTAACACTTGAAGTAACTACGGTCGTACCCACTCGGTGTGCTCGGTCGTGCAGCACTACGGTAGGACTACGTTGTCGAAACAAAAAGAAGAAGAAACAAGGAATGCGTAGTCCAAAAAAAAAAAAAAAAAAGGACTACGTAGTGATAAGAGAGGTGGTAGCTTTCTACCTCTCTTCGGTGAAGGCAGGTTACCTCTGTCGGTGGTGAGAGGTAACAGCATGTTTGCCCCTTTGCCCCTTTGCCCTAGCGTTTAGGGTGCAGGTTGGGGGCGCCTGCGGGGGCCCGGCTAACACAAAGACCGAGCATGTGCCAGTAACTGTGCTTTTAGGGTGCAGGTTGGGCCCGCCTGCGGGGGCCCGGCTAACACAAAGACCGATCATTTGCCCGTAACTGTGCCTACCTTTCATCTTCCGAGCATTTGCCAGTAACTGTGCCTCCCTTTTCAATCCTCTGTGCAATTTTGCCAGTAACTGTGCCTCCCTTTTCAATCTTCTGTGCAGTTTTGCCAGTAACTGTGCCTCCCTTTTCATCTTTCCCCACCCCCCATCGAGTAACACTAGTGTCTAAAGCCAACAGTCTCCCACACACAACACGCAACCAACTCTCACCCACTGACGCCCCTGTTGGCTGAAGACCTTACTTAGCAACAGTAGTGTCTAAAGCCAACAGTCTCCCACACACCACACGCAACCCACTCACACCCACTGACACCCGTGTTGGCTGAGACATTACTACACTGACGCCCGTGTTGGCTGAAGACCTTACTACGGTAGTACTCCCACACACCACACGCAACCCACTCACACCCACTGACGCCCGTGTTGGCTGAAGACCTTACTACACTGACGCCTGTTGGCTGAAGACCTTACTACGGTAGTACCCACTGGGAGGATCCTGACTATCTCAGTTGGTTGGCACCAAGAGTGCCACAGGTTTAGCTATGGGGATTGAGCCCACGACCTCCTGAATGCCACTTGCATGCCTAACCAATCGAACGAAAGCTATGCGTGCAGGGGTTCCCTGTATAGCCTTCTTAGTAGTGGTGGTAGGTAAGTAGTAAAAGAAAGATATGCTCCATGACATGGCAGAACGCCAGTTAAAAAATATGTGAAGTGAGGTGAGAAAAAAATATATGGCTGTGCCCCGATGAGGAGAAGGCAGCGTTCAAAGCTATGCTTGCAGCGGTCCCGTGTATAGCCTTAGGGGTACTGGTAGGTAGGTAGTGAAAGAAAGATATGTTCCATGACATGGCAGAACGCCAGTTAAAAAATATGTGAGGTGAGAGAAAAATACATGGCTGTCCCCCAATGAGGAGAAGGCAACTTTCAAAAAAAAAAAAAAAAAAAAAAAAAAAAAAAAAAAAGAGAGGTGGTAGTGGTAGTATGCTCTAGCTACATGTGAGTCGGAAGGCAGTTCTTCCCTCGAATACAACTCATGGGTTCCGTTTCCGCTGCAGTATTTTTCCCCCCTTTTTCTTTAAGCCGCCACTACCTTTCACAGTGGTGTCCCATTTGGGAATATAATCTACACCGTATTCTTCGGGGGGCCCAGCAGCGACCGCCCTTGATAAATTTATCAATGGGGGCAATTTTCGGCTTACCGACTCCGGGCCTTGTGGGGCCTCATCCACGTCGATGTATGTGGAAAGTAGTGGCGGTTTAATTCTACCCGGAGTCCCTGAGAGCATCAGGGAATGATACCAATTTGAACATCCATTCATTCACAAGTCTCTTTTTTCTTTTTCTTTTTCTTTTTCTTTTCTTAGAAAAGCCCTTTTGCACGGCCTCTATCCCAGTGGTGGTAAGAGAACCACCGGAATTGAGGGTTTGCCTGTCGGGCTGCTCCATCTATTGGTGGGGAGCAACACCTGCTGGAAACCAGGTCTAGCGTCCCTTGGATACATCATCTCATCACAGTCTCATTTGACTTCAATCTACCAATTTTCATCCCTACCACTAATCTACGGACCATTACTATATCCAATTGTTAGCCTATCAACTATACAACCCTACTCTAACTAATCAATGACACAACCTAACGCGGCTACCGGGTCTACTCGGCCCAGGGAACTGTATCTCCTTATCATTCAACCACTCTCTCCTAACAGACTACATAGCCTCTAACAACAAAGTGTCCTGGTACCCTCCGCAGTATTTCAATGTCAGTCCCCTCGGGGATAGCAAATAGAAAATTCGTATCAGAATCAGAAGGTTGCAAAGTGGCCTGTGACTGAACGAACTTCTGAAGCCGTGAGTTTTGCTATTCGTGCTTTTTCGATCTCTGACGGGCTTTAGGGGTACCCTTCTTTTTGGTTGGTGGATGATGCATGGAATCAATGCCCAACGAGGTTGGTACCCTTCTTTTTGGTTGGTGGATGATGCATCTAATCAATGGCCGACGAGGCCCTCCCACTTTTAAGACTTGTTGTTTTTCTCGGACTTTTTCGCAATTTCTCTCCGAATTTACGTAGGACTTACTTGCACCTTAGTGAGCGCGCCAGGAATTTTGTTTGACAATTGGGATTGCAGAGTTTGTGGCCGCACCTCCCGCTGACGTGTCCTTTCTTGCAAGTGAATGTTCCTAAATTCGCCCTTGAAAGCTCTGTGAATTTTCAGTAGGGGTGATGACGTGCGGAGGGCACGTGGGGAGATGGTGTGAGAGAGAGAGAGAGAGGAGATGGACACACACGAGAAGCAGCAGCTGTGTGAAGGTCCAGTCCGGCTCAATGAAAGAACGAACAACTGAATGAACCAACTGAACTGACCCCGGACCAGGGCCTAGGCCGAAGTGATATACCGGCCTAGGTCCAGGTATGGAAAACAACCTGGTACCGGACCAGGGTCAGGCCGACGGCCTGAAACTGGTCCGGTCTCACTGCCGGGCCGTAGGGGTACCGCTACACGATCCTCGGACCTGTGAATGGGTCAAGCGATACATCAAACACGTTATTCGCTGAAATAGCGGAAACCCAAAAGGAACGGCAAAGGAAACAATTCTAGATGCGGAGCAAGCTCCATGAAGGAAAAGAGATGCAATGCAGACTAAGCCTCAAGCCTAGTAATTTATGCAACAATGTCCTAAGTCGAAAACGAATGTGGCACAGTCTCACGTGCCCTGTACACAATGCACAATACCTGAACAAAAGAGAAGGGAACTCGGTCACATGGCAGAGGTAGGAATGGGTGGGAAGGCGGCAGGTACAACTCTCAGAGTAAACTCCAAGGGGGGCACCCACACAACCAGGTAAGGGTCATCAGGCTCGGAGGGAGAGTAACAGCACGACACTAGGCTTAATAGAAACCATCAAACGGGTACCGCCAGCTGAAAGGGGAAGGGCACTCACACAAGGGAGCACACATAAGGAGAGCCTGGAAGGAGGGAGAGGGCTATGCCGGCATAGACATGTGGCCAAAAGTCGCGAGCAAATAAAACGTACACTCCAGAGGAGGGCGCGCAACATACGGTAAGGCAGAAGAGCGGCAAACGGACACACCCACATAGACAGGGAAAATAGGGGTCATCATGTAACTGAAGGGTAAGCTCGAGGGTGGTGGATAGGTGGGAATGATGGGAACTCTGTAGCCGAAAAAGTGAAGTAGTCCAACTGATTAGTCTCCAGACTGAAGTCGAACCGAAGTAGCCTAAATGAAGTAGGAGTTCCGCAAGAACCGAGTAGAAGTCCGGAACAATGCGACAAGTACTTTGGTACTGAGGAGAAGCACTGAGGTCGAAAGTCAAATGTAGAAACCGAATGTAGAAGCCGAATGTAGAAGTCGAAACCAGAAGCTGCTACATAAGTGTCCAGGAATGGTAAACGATAGAGAGCGTATGGGGGGTATAGATCAGTCACGATAACGAAAAGGAAGTCGATGGGTACGCTGGGGGCGAGAGGAATCAACTGCAACAACAGACAGAACCACATCCATAGGGGAAGGAGGACATGAGGCCGGTACCGGTGGAGCAGGAGGACCCATCGATGGAGGAGGGGGGGTGTTAGTGGTCGCAGAGGTAGATGAGTCAGTAGTAGAAGGACGAGAAGTAGGGGGGGAGGAGGATGCCGGGAAAGGATGAGCACGATAGTAAACACGCACGAAGTCATAGCATGCTTCGGGTGCTTAAGAGGCTCCCAAGTAGACTCCTCATCAGGTTAACCCTTCCATCGAACGAGATACTCGAGGCGGGGAAGGTCACCATAAGTCATACGCCGGGACGTGATATCAGAGACGACAAACTCCTCGTGACCCTCAATGATGATGGGAGAGGGGCGAGGGTAAGGTCGACCGTGAAACTCGGGAGGAGACCGTCTAAAGGGGCGCAAAAGAGATACATGGAACACGTCGTGTAAGTTAGTACGGTACGTTGAATCAGGGAGCTTCAATTTGAAGCTCACCGGACAGTCATGATTGGGTCCGGCGGGTGCAAGAATGGTGCATGGTCCAATATATCGACGTCTGAATTTCTGAAGCGTGTCAGCTTCGGGTTGGAAGTGACGTGCGTCGACAAGAACCTCGTTGCCAACTTTGAAGGGTTGGTCGATGTGAGAGCGGTTGGCGCGAGTGGCCATGCGAGCCTGGGAGTCAGCAATGCTCTCACGAGCCTTGCTAAGAAGCGCATTCATCTCCCTTACCCAATCATCAAGGGCAGGGCATTTGGTGTCGGGATGGATCTGAGATGGACGGAGAAGGTCAGATGGGACACGAGGATGGTATCCCATCACAGTAGTAGGGAGACATGCCAGTGGCAGGTGAAATAGCATGGTTATAAGCAATCTCTGCGTGAGCAAGATGCAGATCCCAATCAGAGTCATTCTCAACAAACTTTTTGAGGATACTCCCAAGAGTTTTGCTGGTGACCTTAGTCTGTCCATCTGACTGGGGGTGATAGGAGGAGGAAAGGCGGAGCTCGGAACCATAGATCTCATGGAGTCCACGCCAGAAGTGAGAAGTAAAGCGGGGATCGCGATCAGAGACGATGCTAGTGGGAAGACCGTGATGAATGGCAATGCGGTTAAAGTATAGGGAGTCGATGTCTTTGGCGGAACTAGCATACTTGCAAGGGAGGAAGTGAGCATGCTTTGTTAACCGACAGACAATGACGAAGATGGCGTCGTGGCCTCGTAGGGTAGGGGGACGAAAACGACCGATGAAGTCCATCGAGACGGAAGTCCAACGTTGAGTGGGAATGGGTAAGGGCTGAAGAAGACCGTAACGGAGGTGGTTGGGAATGTTGGCCTCCTGGCAGATCCTGCAGGTGCGGACGTACTCCTTAGTGAATGTACGACGGTGCTCCTAGTAGTAATGGCGGTAGAGGCGGTCAAGTGTCTTGAAGACACCGAGATGACCGGCGACGTGCTGATCGTGACACTCAGTGACGGCCCGAACACGGAGCTGACCAGTAGAGGGCACACATAAGCGAGGAGTACGGGTACCTTGGCGACCAAGCCAGTATAGGAGTCCAGAGGGATCGAGATGGAAGTTAGGGACGAACTTGCCAGCCTGTAGGTCAACGTAGATGGACAAAAACTCAGGGCACTGGGTGTATGCGCGACGGTACTCATCCAAAAAGGGGGGGTGGATGGTGGAAGCTGAAATAGCAGATAGCTGACTATCCTCGCACTGAAGGTCGGGGCGGCGGGATAAGGCATCTGCTACGTGATTGCTTTCACCGGAGATCTTCTTGATGGTGAGATCAAACTCGGAGAGGTCACGCCACCAACGAGTCTGGCGAGAAGTGAGCTTAGGCTTCGTCTGGAAGGCGGCGAGGATAAAGTTCTCCATCAAAACGGTGAAAGTGTGACCGTGCAAGTGATGACGCCACTTCTTAACAGCGTAGACCAACGCAAGGACCTCGCGCTTGTCGGCAGTATAGTTACGCTTAGTGGGAAGTAGTTGTCGAGATAAATAAGCAGCCGGACACTCTCCATCTCTAGACTCGACTGTACCGTCATCAGCGACGTCAGGAATATAAGGGGGTGGGGCCCCTGAAGAGGTGGGCTGGATGGGTGCAAGATGAGCCGCAGTCGCTGGAGGTGGAGGAGGGAAGCGAGGGATGCGAGGGAGGCAGGACTCTGTGGAATCGGGAAAAGTAGAAGGGGCAACTTCATCCTTACGGTTTGGAACCACCGTAGCAATTATACTACGTGTGTGTGACTCGTGATTAGGTCACTTACCTTTCGTTTGTGCTTTCCGTATGTTTGTGTGTTGTGTTTGAGGCTAATTGTGGTTTTTCTGATCGTCCGTGATGGCTGGATATCCGGGAAGAGACGAATGTTTTCAATGCGGATCAACGGGCCATTGGGCCCGCGAATGTCCACAACGAGGGTCAGGTTTTCGTCCGCCCGCCACGAGAGCTAATGTTGTCCCAACCAACTGGACCACCACTCTTGGCGTTGCTTGCTGCTGGCGCTGCGTCTTCTGCATCAGCTGCTACTAACGTTTCTGCCTCCTATGGTCCATCTTTGTCAAACCAAAGGGGAGGTAACATGGCGGGTTCCGACAACGCGTACCAGACTCGACCAAATTGGTGGACGAGGAATCAGGAAAGGCTTGACAAAGTCTATAACAAGTATGTAGAAGACACAGAACGGGAGGCCAAGAAAAAGGAGGAGGAGGCGAAAGAGAAAGCAAGAAAAAATGAGGAGGAAAAACTTTTGGCCTTGAGAAAAGAGCGAGAGCAATTTGAGGAAGCAATGGGCGAGCGATTGGAGAAGAGGTTAGACGCGTTAGGCATTAAGAAGGGTAAATCGGCTGAGGTTGTCAGCGGGGATTCGGCGAATGAAGAGACTCTTCGACTTCGGAAGGAGAATGAGGATCTGAGGCGTAAGTTAAACGAGACGCTATGTCCTGGCGGGGAGGATCGTGTTATGTATCTGCAGAATGAAATTATGGAACTACGAAGAAAGGTTGGAGAAAAACGTGTAAATGAGGATGAGATTGCGGCGTTGAAGGCAGAGATAGGAAAACTGAAGCAGTCAGCGTATATGAAGGCAAATTTTAAACAGGAGATTTTGGGGCTACGTAAGGAAGTTAGTATGCCCCATGATCAGAATGAACGTGTGATCTCAAAAGCAGGGCAATGGAAGGAGCAAGCCTTGCGAACTGGTAACAAGCGAGGCAGCGTGATGCTGCAGACACCAGAATGCTCTAATCGGGGTTCTCCCAGACCAAGATGGACGGATAATGTGAGAGAAGAGGACAAATGGAAAGTAGAGTATCGAAATCTTCAGAACTTACATCGAATGGCGAATATTGAGGCAGAGGCTCTCAAGCAGAAACGAGCTGAAGCGGAGGCTCGCAAAATAGAGGCGGAGAAACAGGTGAAGACTCTGGAGGAGAAAATGAGCCAGTTGATGGCGGGAGGTGAGAAAGGTAAAGAGAAGGTGGTGGGAGGAACTCGAAGAAGTGGCAGTCCGATCTGCTCGAAGAGGGATAAAAGCTACCACTGGAAGAACTGGGGGCAGATCCACCTCGATGTCTGCGCTGTTGGACAAGGAACAGATTCCACGGCGTACTACTACAACGATTAAATGATAGGGTCGAATTCGTGGAGGAACAGAAGCGGCAATTGTGTATGCTCCGGAAGGCAGGATTAGAGCCACTCTGTAAGGAAGAGGGTGTGAAGCTCGGAAAGTTCGAGGATACCGTGTGTGACCTTGAGGAAGCACGTGCAAAGAAAGCGTTCGACGAGATACCGGGTCCATCTTCCAGACGGGAGAAAGAGGTACTGGAGGTTAGTGATGGCGTTTCAAAAAACTCGGGTGAAATTGAGGATGTGGGGGAGAAGTCAGTCGAGCTATAGGGGTCTTTCCCGGACGCGTCTATACTTTGGTCTTTGGCTGATGACTGTCGAATTAAAAGATGTGGATATGGAGTTTCGCCAATTTCCGCCGGGCATGTTGTCTCTCCCTTGGGATTTGCTTCTCCTCCTTGCTCGACCATTGCTCCACCTTCGAATAGTTCTTCTTTCTTCCTTCGGGATACTGAGTATAATGCCTTCTTTAGATTAGTAGTCATCGGCCTTATCCTCCGTGATCAGATTCCTTGGGCATGAAAGTTTAAAGAGTATGTGTTAAATTTGCTTACCGAGGACTTCGACTTTGAGAATTTTCCTGGACCTCTTGTCTATGCTCTGATCTCACCTTGGTCTAAACACACTTATGTCGGGGCTACCACTAGATCGCTTTCTACTCTATGGAAGGAACATGTCTATCGGGCGTCTAATCCTAAGGTTATTGAGCAAGGAAAACGGAACCATAAATTGTACTCGTGGCTAAGGAGGTGTCAGGTTGGTCAATATGTCACAGTACCACTGTTTTTGGGTGGGGAGGAGGAAGTTCGTGATCTAGAAAAGTTTGTTATAAAAAAGTTTAGTCCACATCTGAATAGTCAGGATCTGAAACGGTGGGGCAAACATCATAGACTTGGAAAAAAGGAGAGAGTCAGGAAGAAAAGGAACGCTGGAATCACGACACATACATTTTTCCCTCTCACGCATTTGGTTTTTCATTCCACTATTGGAGTAGTTTCTTCTAGCCTTTTAACGATATTGAACTCTTGAGTAGAGAGGAAAGTTTCGTCGATCGGGGTTGCATGTGCGGGTGGACAGGTTTTTGCCGAGAATTGGAAATTGATTAAACGTCGATTTGGTTCCTCATTGGTTTGTTCTGCTGGGAGCTATGAGTTGCTTAAGAAAGCTAAGCATGTGTTTCAATCTGGAAAGTACCTGTCTATTGTGGTTGTCGTCCCATTCCTATCACGTTTTGCTATTCTGAAGCCATCTCTGGCTGGGTACCTCGGCAATCCGAGCTCTAGAAAGGAACTAACGGAATTGGATTTCGCTTTTCTGGTGCAAGCATATTCTGCAGTGCGTTGTTTTTCTGAAAAAAAATCGAGGTATCAACTACGTTTTATCCTGTCAGGGGTAATTAAGCGACGGTTTGACATTAGTATTCGGAACGACTGGTGATACGGATCACCTATGATGCAGGGCTGAGTAAGCCTGGCATTCGATCGCTATGTGCCAATATTGTAATGAGTTTGGATATTGATGCAGGATGGAAGCGTATGATAGTAAGACGCATGCGGATTGTATGGCTTAAGAATAAGAGTGTGGGCGAGTTGATTTTTAACTTTCGAGAGGCAGCCGAACGAAACAAAATATTTGTAGCTGTGCATCCTTATCTGAAGAATTCCCTCGTGTTGGTGGTCACGTAAGTTTTCGTTTGAATGACTGGGCAGTGGCCCCGGCTTGAGTCCGTAACAATAAGAATGTGACATTTTCGGGTTGCCGTGATGTTGTGGGAAGATTGTGGCATCAAATTTTATCTTCATTTTCTGCTCTTGATTTCTCTGTTGCTCGGTTGAGTCGGCGTTCTGTTGCTGATTGTTGCCTAGTTGTGGGCGACCAATATCATGATTGTTCTGAATCGAATGCCACTTCTTGGATTGGGTAGTCGATTTTTGGGAAGGAAAGAGGGCTAAAGGGGTATTGTTGAAGAAGCGGGGGAAAGAGGCCAAGATTCAAAAAGGTGGAGCACAGGAGGGCTGAGAATCGTATGGGTTTGATATGATTCGTAGTTTTGTAAGGTTTGATCTTGAGCATACCTTTATTCGGGCGAACGGGACTATTCTTCGGCAAACCATGGGCATTCCAATGGGTAAACCTTCTAGCCTGACGATTGCATGCCTACTGTGTGTCTCTTCCGAATTCTCTTTCCTGAATTCTCTCGGAAAGGACCGAGTTCTGGTCCACGGGATTCGTCTGATTGATGATGTCTCTATCTTCATCAGGCATTATGTGGGTGATGATTTTTCTCGTCACAAAGCTGAGGATATTCTGGGTGAGTGCTATGATCCGAAGCTGAGCTTGGAGCGTACAAGTGACTCTGATTCTTGGGATTTCCTTGGCTGTGTCTTACGAAATTCTGGTTGGCCATCGGGCATTCAATGTGTCGAGGTACACAAAAACCAGCGGACTGTATTGGAAATGGGCTTGCGTTTTCAAAGTCTTCAGGATAATTGCTCATATGTGAGCAAGAAGCAGAAGATGGCAGTTGTTGGTTCGTTTCTCCATCGTGCTCGACGGTTTACGAGCATGCCAGCCGCAGAGGCGGTCTTTTTGTTGACTCTGAAAGTGGAGTTGAGGCTTCGGGGGGGATTTCCTGACGAAATCTTCGACAAATCTCTGTGCAATTTTTCTCTGAAATTTGGAGGTCTGTGGGATGGTTGGGTACATTGTCTGACGGGTTGGGATAAGTTCCGAACACGAAATTGGGCCTGGAAGGCCCTTACGGGAAGGGGGCACAAAATAGGTATAGGCCTGCGATATGAGCCTATGAGGCCAGGATGGCCTTTTAAGGATTGATGGAGGGTTTTTGAACCGGTAACCGGATTTTACTTGGATGTTCTTTGTAGGACTTGATCTGTGGGTTTGTTCTGTCGTCTTTGAATCTGGTTCTGTTCAGGTGTTGGGCTTTGACCCGTGGACCTGTGGGTTTAGATCGTAGGGATTCGGTTACAGATTTGAACCGTGGACTTCGTAGGGTAGCGGTTGTTTAACGCCTTCTTCTCTGTGTAGACTCCGGCTGGCTCTAGACTTTTCGAGTGCTTGTCCTTTTCGTCTTAAATAGTCTGTTTAATACATCGATTGGCACTCGATTGCATGACGACCCTGGATGAGTCCGGAACCGGCTCCGGACGAAACGTGTAGGGTCTTGCCGGATGAAGTTGGTCATGCTTGGTTCGATATGGACATGACGTCCATCTTCGGGTTCAACTCTGTCGGCTGGTTTGACTTGGATATTATACGGAGCCGCTTGTCGCGTTCGGGAGACATCGATGTGTCAACTCTTTATCTTTTCCTCCTTCTTTCCTTTTCTTTTCTCTATTCTCTCAACATCTTCTGTCTCTCTCTTTCTACATGGATGTCTTCTCACTCAGTGATGGTGTGTGTCATGCGGTTACTTCGGCCATGCGGTCGTCTTTGATGTATGAGGTTGTGAATGATCTTCGTGTGCAATTAGGCTTTGTGCCGGTATGGTTTGCTCCTTCGATTGATTGTGACTTATGGATGATTATGCGAGAACTCTCAACTGCGCGGAATCGCTGGATCATGGTGTCCTCTGATATGGCTGTGACAGGAATCTGAGCGCGTACACGGTGAAATGTTGTGATGTATGACTCTAAGGCATTGTCGCCACCAAGCCATCTGATCTAAGCCATACGGGTAATCAGGTCGCGGGTTGGTACAGGGCGAGAAAAATACTGCTGGAGGAAGTCGCGAAACTCAGGATAAAACATGCCCTCATGTACGCCATGTTGTGAGCGGAGGGCGAGGAAGTCGCGCCAGGTGGAGACTGCACGACCTGTGAAACGAGAGGACATCTCGACGGGCCACAGTTCCATAGCGACACCATGGTAGCGAAGCTGCTCCTCAGTAGTAGAGATCCATCCTTGGAGCTCGGAGGCCCTGCCGTCAAACTGCGGGAGGCGATCCAGTCGGTACTGTGGAAGATACATCAACGGCTGATAATGGGTAGGGAGAGGAAAAACTGACTGTGACAAGAGGACAGAGGACGTAGTGGCACCAGCAAGAGAACTAGAAAGAACAGGGAGTTGGGCCAAAGGTCCCTGACACATCATGGTGGTCGGTGGTGGAAGAGTGAAATGCATCGCAGCGGCCTGTGTCCGATGCTGTCGATAGATGAAAGGGGCAGCAGGCTGTGTCAAGAGGTGGGGAGGTAGGGGTTGACCTCCTTGGAGTTGGCGGATGTGATCATGGGC